ATATGTAACATGTGTTCGATTTTTGTGTAATATTTTTTTGGTTGATCTACTTATATAAGAAATGATCTACGTTCACCCTACCTTTAAATTAGTAAATATAACTTTGAGTTAAGTAGTAGGTTGATATTATATATAAGTATTATTGTTTTATTAATTATATAAGCTAAGAGTTATATCATGTCTCTAATAAAAATCGCAATAACTTAAAATTAGACAGTTATTTTAATTCCTTTTCAAAAATATAATAAAGAATAAAGAATAACTTTGCTAATAATTTATTCACATATTATTTATGAATACGGTACTACCTCATAGGAGTCAAATTGGAACCCAGTTAATAAGATATTTGAAGTTAGTCAGTTAGTTAAAAAGAAAAATATATGTTAAGGCAAAACTTTACAATAGAGATATACAACTATTGCATTTGTTATATAATTTTTTAGCCTTGCACAGGTTATAATAGTGTATTCTGGTTATATAGAGAGGTGAAATTTCTCTCAAATTGTTATTTTTTTTTTATAAAATGTTTTTTTGTTTTTTTCCATTTTTTCTTTTTATAAGTTTTTTTTATTTTTATATTTCGTTCATTTCCTTATTCCTCTTTTTATATCTCCTTTTTAGTCATAGGTCTTTTTTTTTTTTTATAGATTTTTTAATAAGATAATTCTGGTTTGTCCACGAACTAGTGCAACTAGTTGCATTTAGGACTATAAAGTAACTGAGTGAAGTTGGGCTTTGAGTTCTATAAATTAAATGTATATAGTTCTTATATACATTTTAATAAAAAACAAGCCATGGCAAAACCTGTAAAGATTAAAAAAATAATAATAATAATAATAATAATTTATTCACATATTGACTCTTTAATAAAGTTCAGTTTATTAATAATAAATATTACATATATTCTACTTTACATGTACTTATCTATTCTTTAAATTATATAATAGATTCTTTTGTATGTATTTATTCAGTTGTAAGTTTTTTTAAGTGAAGTTTTCTTTTGTTTTCTAGTTCTAGTAATATTAAAACAATAAATGTTTTAAAATTATGTAATTTGATTGGTTAATCATTATGGGCAATCATAGGTAGATCTACAAAAATTAGCCAATCACAAGATTGTTTGCTATGCTGCTTTAATCACTATATCACAGATGTTTAATACATGATCTATTCTATTGATGTTACAAAATAAGTGAATAATTTGTATATTTGTATTAGAAGGTAACTGAATAAATTTATGAAAATCATTTAATGTTTATGTCAAACATGCCAGATAATCAAGTTATTAGTTAAAGTGAATAATCAGTTATTATCTATAACATTAATATTTATTTTATCCTTTTTTTTGTTAATAAGAATTTAACTACTGATTTAAATATAAGCTAATATAGATAAATGTTTGAGAGTACAGTCAACCTCTAATATAATTACACGATTTTTTATTTAAAAACTTTTTAAAAAATGAGCTTATGTAGAGGTAGTTTTTTAAAAGTTTAATAGTGATTTGTTCTTGAGCACAAAACGTGATAAAGAGAGGTTTTTTATATGATATGATTATATAGAGGTACGACTGTATAATAAAAAGTGCAATGACTCATACACATACGTACGTACGTATGTATGTATGTATGTACTTGTACGTACAGTACGTACGTATATTTAATTTTTTGATCAAAAACATGCATTGGCGCAGTATGGTGTCTTAAGTCCTGATTGGAACCTAAATCGGATAAGTCCATCCAATAAAAATTGATACTTTGTTGTTAAAACAATACTTGCCCATTCATACTGATACTTTATTGTTAATACAAAGAACGCAGATCTGAAATTTATAAAAGGACTGAAACCAAAATCGATCCGAAATTAAAGTCTTATATGTAAATATCACATGGTTTAAGGATCGAGTCCTTTGAATCCTTTACCGATCCTTTGACCAATTTCCCTAGTCAATGAAAATAACGAATATAAAGTATTTAATATTTTTTTATTTATTCGAGAGCTATATACTGTAGTATATATCTCGAGTAGTACGTATAAAACGTAAAAATACTATTTATGCGAATAATAGTAACGGTAAGTAATGTAAACAACAATGCATTGTTAAGGTGCATTTAAAAAAATATTCAAGATTTTTTTGTAATACTTTATACAATAAAAAAAAAAAAATGATTATTTTCAAATTTTCCGAAATTGATTTAACGTTGATACATGCAAAAATTTGATAATGTCAAATCATCAAAGCTGACATATTTTTATAGAAATCAATTAAAAGACAATCATAGTATTCTCTTAACACAGCCAATTTTAAGCCCAACTGCATAAAAGTTTCCGAATTTTGCTCGTGTGTATTGCTTTTACCATGTGATTTGTTTTTTTTTAACCGTATTGATTTTTTTAAATGCAAAACTATGCAAATGTATGAAAATGGAAACTATTGTTTTAGATTATGCGTGTTTGTTATGAATAGGCTTTTTCGCGAAATCTCTTGTAGAATATTTTTGAAAATTTTCATCTCGTTGATCATTAATTAATATACAGTATAATCAAACGCGCAAAAAAAAATAATAAAAAATGACGCGATCACCAGAAAATTTTTTATTAAAAAGTAAATTCATTCGACGAAGTAAATCTACAAAATCAATTATATCTCTTAATTCAACTCAACGTACAATTCCTTATCCACTTTCTTTAGATTGTCTCATAAACATTATTGAATATTTAAAAAATGATCGAGCAACTTTATATTCATGTGTTATGGTAAATAGAATATGGTGTAAAACTTCAATTCCATTGCTTTGGAGTCGACCATTTGAACATCAAATGATTGGTAAAGAAGTAAGAATATTACATACATATATTTCGTGTCTCAATTTTCATGATAAAGCTCAATTAATTGATCATGGAATTCAATTACCTGATATGCCAAATCCTATATTTGATTATCCAAAATACTTGCGTGGATTTGATAATGAAAATTTTGATCGTGCTATTGAAGATTGGATGATGATGTTATGTTTAACAATGGATTCAGATTATGAGATTAGAATTAAATTATGTAATAGAATAATAGGAAACTTATTACTTAGTCGAACTAATGGATTAAGAGTTTTAAAAATTGATCGAGGAGAGATTGAGGATAGTTGTTTAATGAACATTGTGAATTTAAATAATAATTATAAGGCGTTTAGTGAACTTGAAAGATTTGAATTAAAATTTGATAATGATGACGAAGAGAAATGGATATTAAATTCCGAATATAAAGCACTAATTTGTAGTCAACTTGCCACTTACACTAGATCTCTTTCACATATTACAATTTCTATTGATCCATTTCGAAGATCACCACCACCACCATTTATAGTTTGCCCATCAGTATTTGAATTAATTAGTTCGCAAGACAAACTAGAATTTTTAGATATGGAAGAATTTTGGGATGAATTTACATACACGGCAGTATTTTATTCATCTCTTCAAAGTCAAGCACATTCAATTACTCATCTCACATTAACAAATTTAACCGAATTTGATTTATTATTATCAGTATTAGTAAGTTGCGTCAATTTACAAACTTTGGAATTTTTAATGGTACCTGAACCAAATATGGAATCTTTTGATTATATTACAAATCTACGAAGACCATTAAGTGTTAAAAAATTAATTTCATATGATGCAAGAAGTGAACCTCAATTAGTTACACAATCCTTAGGAATTATAATCAAGATGGCAAATAAAAATTTAAGAGCTCTAATGTTATTTGAAGTAACATCGGAACTTATAGATATAATTGGTCAAAATTGTCCTAATATAGTAGATTTATATTTAACAATGTCAACATCTTCTATTTCACATTTATTGAATTTTCTTCCTTCTTTACCATTAGAATATTTATTTTTATGGGAGGATCATAGTATGCCTTTTACACATGAGTTCGTTCTTCAAATAGCAAGATCTATTCCTGCAACTTTACAAAATTTAGAAATTACTTTTGATATGCCACCTGAAGTTATGTATGATTTCTTATGGGAATGTCCTGCGAAATTTAGAGAATTGGTGTTAAGGGTTGATGGATGTGATGATGAATTCTTAGAGATTGTTACTATGTATGCTAAAAAGAAAGGTGGTTATTTAAGAGCGTTAAAACTTTGGGGATTGGGAATTAAGTTTTCTGTTGAAGCTGTCGCAGAAGCTATGGAAACTATTCCTAGAATTGTTAATTTGGCTTCTTATCCTCTTTGGTAGATAGGTATTTTTTTTTAACGTTAATGCTGGTCATTATTCGGATATAGATTTGCATATTACGTATAGAGTTGTAAAAATATATATATATATTATATTTTATATATTATAGATTTATATATTATATTTATTATAGATTGATATATTATATTTTATTATAGATTGATATATTATATTATATATATTATATATATTATATCAGTGTTGTCACTGGAAGGCTGGAACCCCACTGGACGTCCAGATTCTTCCAGCATTCCAGTGGTTCCAGTGA